TCCTTATTATTTTATTATTTAATTATTTAGTAATCGGCCTAATTACCATTTAGCTTAGCCCACTCATCACAACAGGCCGGACCAAACTCGTTAGCTTTTGTTGACCGGGCTAGTTTGACCATGATTTCCCTACAAATTTTTAATAAAAAATTAAAATAATTAGATTGTATTTATGTTTTAAAAAATAATATAAGAAAATAATTTTAATGATTAATTTATTTATTAATTAATATATATAATGTATACAATGGTGAGCTAAAGTGTCCTAATGTTTTTTTTAAAAAAAGGGGGTGAATCAATCAACGGTGGTAGATTCATGCAGACGCTCGCTATCTGTTTCCCGTAACACACCTTAGTAAACCCGTGGGCCCTCTAGTTTTGGCGCGAAACTCCCATTTTTGTTTCCCTCTCGATTTGTATACCAAATCTTCAAAGGTTAATGGGAGAAAAAGGATAAGAAAAAAGAGAAGATTCAGAGCCATCGAGAGAGTGAATGCGAGTGTGCGGGCGCAGTAGTCTTATCAGATGGCGTCAAGCTCGGGTGATTGGTCAACGCCTCCGGCGGACGATTACGAGGCGTTGATTTCGACGACCGATGTAGAGCTGTTGAAAAGGGCGTGGCGAAACGAGAAGGCGGCTCCCGAGATCCTTCGGTACCAGGAGGATCTGGTTAAGAGAGCCAAAGAGCAGATCCAATTGATGGTATTTCCTTCTTATTATTCAAAAACCCCTTGTTCTTTTGATTTTCCCTGGAAATTCTGAATTATGGGAAACAAGATATGTGTACTTAGTTTTTTTTATTTTTTTATATTTTTTATCTAGGGATTTCTCTTATCGAAATTGTTTAATTCATTTCCTTGCTCAGGCCGACATTTGAGTTCTGGCCATACTTGTGTATTTCTTATACCATCTATCTGTTCTTTCACTGAATTCAAATACAAAATTATTTTGGGAAACATCTCTTACACTGGAAGAAGCTTATCGCTAAATTATAGCAGGCAAATAATTTTGGTGGAATTATGTAATTTTGAAAACTTAACCAGTGTACTTATATACCTTCTAGTTTTTGCTGACATAATTCATGACAACCGTAACAAATGTTGCAAACCTTGATTAAATTTGTCAAAATGATCAGGATAGAATCTGTGTAGCTTAATATAATCTTTAGGCTCAAGTTAAGGTATTGGGCGGGAGGATAGGGATACTATAAGTATTTAAGGCACAAATGAATGAAAAATGTCCTTGTTGTGTATTATTGCTTATTGTTCATTATATCCCTAGGAGTGTATTTTTATCTGTGAAGTAAAACTCCAAGTGCTAAATTCCTTTCTGAATCTCTAAACGCTTGACTGGCTAAATGTTCACAGGAAGAGACTGTGGAGGAGTTTGCAGAAAGTGGCATTGACCCCCTCACTGTATCACTCTATCAGATGGACTTGGATAGGGCTCAGTTTCTGTTGAGATCTTATCTTCGAGTTCGTCTTCTGAAGGTTGTCAGGTTCTCTTATCTTGTTTCTTTTTTGAGAGTTAGAATGTTATTTAGCAGAAATTTATTTACCCAATTAGACCTCCGTTGCTTCCCAGAGTAATCAAGCAATACTTGTGTGTGTGTGTGTGTGTGTCTTTCTGGGAATCTGGAACTAATTTGTCCTGCAGGAAAACTAGGATGCTATTAATCAATTCTGTCAAGTTCCAACAGTATGGCATGGAATGTATGTTATATCTTTCATTTCTGAAATGATACTTGAATATTTGCATTGCAGATTGAGAAATATGTGTTCCACATCTTAAAATCTGATGAAACGGAAAGCCTGCTTTCTGAACAAGAGAAAATGTTTGCCAGAAGGTGGTGTCTTTTTCAGTTAGTTAATGTTTTTATTGCAGAAACAGTTTGTCAAAGTTTATTGAGCTTATTCTTGTTGAACCTTCTTCTCATATTACAGTGTGTGCAGATAATATGGGAGAGCATCTCGAAGATAGTGATCTGCTAAGATTGCCTGATAATTTATCAGTCAGTACTGAAGCAATCCATAATAAGTGAAGAGGATGACATGGGTAATCATTTAGCTTTCCTAGATAGCTTACTAGTTATTTCCAAATCCTCTGTTTTTTGTGAATATATTCCCTATACTTGTTTGCAATGCCAAGTATGCCGTAGTTATATTATCTGTAGCACAGCCCATATCTAAAATTTATTTATCAATATGAAAAGTGCTAGAAAGCACAAGAAAGATTGCACGAAAGCTTCTATTGTTGGATAGAAAACACATTTCT